TGCAGCCTCAAGCCCTTCAGATCAATAAGAATTTAAAAGAGGACTTTTGCTTTTAGTGCCTCCTAGAAAACAGGAATTGCAGAGAGTTGCAGTAGCATGGCTTCATTTTCTTTTCTGTCCTTTGAGTATGTTGATTTGTTAGCCATGCTTTGAGATCTATGTTGAAAACAATCATACAAACAAATGAGTAGAATCTGTTGTAGCTATGGAAGACTAATTTAGAAGGACAGGGGTATATTACTTTCTATTCCATGCTATATATGACTCAGGGATGGATATTTTAAAATCTTTATGAATAAATATTTATGACTTTTGTCAGAGATTGTAACTCCTTAATAGTATCACAGAAAATGTTTAATTATCTCTAAGGATTTTTTTTTCTGTTTCTCTTTTCCTTTTTATAATGACATATATATCAGAATTGCACATGCCCACTATTATTTACCTTATTGGGCAGTGAGTGGTTTCCAATATGGGAACATTGGTTTTCAGTGTAAATGTTTGTAGTTATCAAAGTTTTCATCACTGAGGACAGATAGGAGAGGAAGTAAATTAGTTATGAGTTACAAGAAGTAGTATATGCTATGAAAGAGCATATTATTGGCTTTTCATCAGCTGATTTCCTGAAATATTTTAGATAATTATTGCAATAACCATATTTTTTTCTCTCTCTCTGATCTTATCTATTTATGTAATTGTTGCGGTTTGATGTAAGTTGCCAAGGAGTTGATCCTAATTCATCATAAATGTTAAAGATGAGAGAACATCTGTCATAGCCAGCAGCAAATTGCAGAACTTAGCATTTCTCCCCCTAAGTTGTCTTCCACAGATACTATTGTTCAGTGAAAGGACTACAAAGATGACAAGAGACAGGGTCTCTGCCTTTAAAGAGCACATAAACAAGTAGTTAACCTATAGAAATTGATGAATGCTGTAATGGAAATGTACAGAAGCTGGTATGGAAGCACAAGGGGTCACTTGCTCACCTTGTGACTTTTCTAAGGTCTCTTAATCAAGTTGAGCCTACATTTCCTTGTTGGTAAATCAGGGATCATAATAACATATCTTCCAGGGTTGTTGTGAACATCAGTTGAATTATTCAATGAAACTACTTTGTAAAATGAAATATGAATATATCTTTTTATTTAATTTGATAGTTTTACTTTAATATTATAAGCCATATTGTGTGAGATCCCAAAGTGGTCCTCCATTGTGGGGTTGATGCATTTCTTAATGTCACTGAGAGGGGATTCCTCTCTGTGTGTTTTTCCATAATGGCATCTCCAAAATATGCCCTCATCACATTTTTCTTAGTATGTAAAAATAAAGCAGCCAGAAAGAAATATGCTCATTTTTGTGTATTTCTGTCCTCATAGCATACATGGGTAGAACTACTCCCTTCAAATTTATGCCTGTCATGCATGAAGGAGATGAGATGGAGTGGTTGTGGCTTGCCAAAAGGCATGCCAGTGAGAAGTGAAAAGAAGAAACCAGAAATCAGCTTTTTTCTTCCCAATTTATTAATTTGTAGAATTCATTTTATGAGTTTTCCTTGAAATCATCACCCATGAAATTCAGTTTACTTTGATGATGGAAATTTGAATAGGTTAATGAAATTATTCCTTTTTTTTTTTTTTTTGAGAACCATTTTGACTTCCAAGAAAGAAAAGTATAATTTTCTGTAGTTACTATAGTTCCTCCCCCTCTTTATTTTGGGGAAGAATGAAATGGATATTTTGACAAGAAGTCATTTTAAATATTTATCCTTACTCATAACAAAGTACCTGCTTAAAATTATCAGCCTATCTGGCTGTTGTAGTATAAAAGTAGCTGCATGCAATTAAATGCTTTGCTGATAGGTATTGTTTTGGGTACCACCACATTTTTTAACTTTCTGCATTATCTCCCTAAGCATAGAATATAGAGATTGTAGTGATAATTCGCAAGGACATATCTGCACATTTGTAGTGGTTATGGTAGGCACTTGTTAAATGAATGGACTCTAAATGAATGAACTCTAAAGCTCAGTCCTCTGATTCTACCTCATCAGCTTCTAGTTTTACTAAAGGGCAAAAAAAGGCATAGATAGATTTACAAATATGTAAATATTTGAAGGAGATAGAAAATGTCACTGTCACCATTATTCTTATGCCCTGTTCGGCCAGTTTATCCATCTCCACCTTAAAATATGACTGTCAGTTGCAATGTCCTTTAACTTCCTTTATGCCAGTGGTAGTTTTCTACATCTTTATACATTTTCATCTGTTTTCCTTCAGCCTCAGGGGAAAAAAATTTACTTCCACATTACTGAGTCCAACCCATCCCCTGGGGTCCTTGAGTCAATCTTCCACCTTCTCCAGGGCCATGTCTCATCTGCCATTCTGATCTCATATCTCTAACCTCTGCTTCTCCATTGTTTGTTCTTCTTTGTCTATAATTGCTCAAGTTTCTCCCAGTTTTTCATGCCACATTTTATGCAGTTACTTTCCATTTTGTAGTCTCCTGATCCAAGTCCTCAGAAGAATTGCCTTTCTTCACTTACTCTGTTCTCATTCACTCTTCAGTGCATTGCACTTTGTCTTCTGCTAACCGGAACAATTGACCACAGCTGTTTGTGGATAAAGCTGCTCCGGATGAGATCACTGGCAGTGTTTTAATTGGCAATTCCAACAGATATTTTTTCAGCCTTTTATTTTATTGGATTTCTTTGCTACATGTAATTCTCCATGTCCTTGACTTTCATGACACATCATTTTTATTCTTCTTATAACTCCATAATTGTACCTTCTCTGTCTTCTTAATGACTGTTTTTTCTCTACCCAGCCTTCAAATATTAATATTCATCATGATCCCTGTTTGATCCTTTTTTACTCACTGTCCATATTTTACCTGAGTTACCATAGTCATTTTCATATTTTCTGCCACCTCCACACGGATGACTCCTTTTCCCCACTTTCAGGCTCATGTGACCAATTTCTAGGTGAACATTTCTGCCTAGATTTTCTCCAGCTGCTTCAGAGTTCACATGGCCAAACCTGAACTTCTTATAGTCTCTCCTAAGCCAGTTCTGTCTGTCTTTTTACCATTTCGGTTGGTAGCATCATCATCCACCCAGTCACCTGACTCAGAACCATGAAATGCATTTATTCCTACTTACTTCATTGCCCACATCCAGTCAATAAGCTGGCTTCCAGATTATATTTTGATATTTTGTATTTATTTTTCCAGTTAATCCCTTCCTTTCCATTCCACTGCAGCTGCTTGGTTGATTTCTCTCATCACCTGATATTAGGACTAATAGAGGTAATTTTTAATTAATGTCTCAATGTTTCGTTATGATACCCTCAAATCAGCCTTTCCTGTAGCCAACAAAGTGATCTGTCAAATGAAAATAAGACTGTTTCACCATCCTGCATTACACCTCTTAGTACCTCACTCCTGCTCCCATTCGTGACAGCAATATTTCTCATACTTAGTTTCATGGATATATGTATGTGTTTTAGAATGTTCAATGAGAATTTTTCAATTTGGTTTGTGTGTTTTACTGATAATCATTTAAAAAACAACCACCACTATGTGTTTATTATGGCATGGTGTCTTCCATTATTCAGGTAGGAAATATACTATATACTCTACAGGATAAATTCTAAGATTCTTAATATGTCTTATAAGATCTTTTATGATCTGGCCTCTACATATTTCCCTGTCTTAATCTCTTTCATTGTGAAAGCAGCATCAAACTATTACTTGTGGGTCACCACATACACAATGCTATTATTTTTCTTGTTACATCTGTGCCTTTGCACTTACCCCTTAGGTGTATGGGATATTCTTGCCTTTTTCCATTCTTCTAACTTTAACTTTGAACTCCTACTTTATAAGTAGTTCCATCATCACCTCTTCTAGGATGTACTAATATAACCAGGCTGGGCTGTTCATTGGTCCTCCTATTTTCATAGTGCCCTAACCGTATCTCCGTCTCTGAATATGCCTTATTACTTTGTAGTTACCTACTGGAATCTTTACTGGATTGTGACCTCCTTCTGGGCTGTGGTTTTCCCCTCTATATCTTTCAAGCGTGACATGTAGTTGAATGACACATAGTTTTTGTTTTTGTTTTTTTTTCTCACCTAAGTCTTTTTGGCTCTAGGAAGAATACGCATGAAAATGAGACTGTATGGCAAATACAGAATGTACTGTAACAGCACCAGAGAGGTACATCCTCTCTCCTCTACAGAGCCTCAATGTTTAATACATACATGTGACTTTAGTAATAAAACCAGATAATCCAGAAAAAAAGAGCCCTTTAGGAAAAAAACAATCAGTTTAGAGTGACTTTTCAAATTGACCATTCCTTTTCATATACTTAAATTCAAATAGCAGATACATTCGGAGGCCCAAATGTTGGCATAGAATAAAATCATGTTCATTTATTTTTTCTGCATCTTAGAATTAGAAGGCATAAAATTAAATATGTTGAATGTAATAAATTCATCTACACAAGTGCAAGTCTCCAGCTATAATGCATTTTATGGCAGATTTATTATTTTAAAAATGTACCAGTAAATCAAAAAAGAGGGAGTATGTCCATTTAACTTTTATTGAAGTGTATGTAGGTCTTCAGAAATCAAATACGAGCATGAAGATATGGCCAAACATAAAATCTATCAAATTCTGTGAAAAGTTGCTGACTTTAAATAGTAGTTGTAAGAATGACCAATATATATTCTTTGTTAAAGAGAGATGAGAGATAGTGAGCTGAAAATACATGGGCGAATCACCTTTGCTTTCTGCCTATGAAGATAAAGATCTTTTTTGACAGTCGGCCTAAGCAATTTCTTTCACAGTTTTTCCTTTACTACGTACTACCGCTTGTTAAATGTTTAATATGTATTTATATGCTTCACTTAGTATTTTAAATTAGAAAAATCAATGTCTAGTTTTTATATGAAGAAATTTTAGCTATAGGAAGATAACCCTTGTATTCCTTTATATTTCAGGAAACCTGTCTTCCCAGTTGCAGGCTCAGGAACCTGGAAGTCTTGAAAATACATTAACTCCGATGGAAGATTCTGGGTGTGTTTTATCAAATGAGCAGAGAACTGAGTCTTTAGAGCTGCCCCAGCATTTTGTGGAGAGCGGTACCCCCATACCCTTTCCACCGTTGCCTCTTATGAAAACAACCTGTTCGACCCTGGAAAATCCTTTATCTTCTCACATGCAATTTTTGCAACATCTACTTAAACTGAAGAACTTGACAGAATCAGGTAGTTTGAGAACAGACTTAACCTATTTTGAAAAAGACTCTTCCATAGTCTCTGATTCTGTTTTTCAGTTGCTGGATGGCCTGATCACTTTTTACCGTAATCCTAAACTTCCTTTTTCAAGCTTTTGGACAGAAGCTGTTGATACTTTAGCTAGACTGATCAGTGATTATAACTTATCTAATCATATTCTTAAAAAGTGTTCCAAGAAGTTGGAAGAATTTGAGAAAACTCTGCTACAGGTTATTTTAGGGAACAACAATATAAATCGGGTAAGTAATCCCTCCTGTTCATGAAATAATATGTTATTGATTTTAGTGAACAGTTCACTTTGGATAATGTCTTTTGTGGTCCCTTAGCCTTGTGGCTCAAAGAGTCATTAGTTGGTTTTTCTTTTGCAGCTATCTGCAGCTCTTATCTGTTGTTATGTCTAGACCTCTGGCCGCTGATTGCTACAGCATAGTTCTTTCCATAGATGTCTCTGCTTCAAGCCTGGGCTTCTGTGCTTTGAATTACTTTCCCTGTTTTTTTCTTTTTTCTTTTGAAATAAGTATTCTTGGGTTCTTCTCTTATGTTTTCCCATACCTATGTTTACTTCCTACTGCTCAAAAAGTCTCAATGCTTTGCAGAAAACCACTAACATTTAAGGTGTTATAAACTATAACTTATGCAAGTGTTAAATTCCTCATGATGGATTGCCTGTACTGTATTCAATTTGTTCTTTTTCTGGCATTGACTAGCAAATGCCTTGAGGTCAAAAGTATTTTTCTTTTCTTTTGGACTTTCTTTTGTAAGTGGCAAATTTCCCATTTCCCACATTTCCCTTTACAGATGTGAGTTAATTGAATAAAGTAGCTAAGGAACATATACTGTAAAGTTTTATAATATTTTCCCCTTATTTATTTAACATGAAATAGAAAGGTTGACTCAGGAATTCTTTTTTAAAAAGTGACATTGAGGTAACCTGAAATTGTTTTGTTGTTTAGCTCTTGACACATGGTAGACGGTTTCTTTTTCATATTACCTTCTGTCTTCTTTACTGTCTGATCCTTTGTTTGGAAAACTCCAAATGCCTTGACACTCTAATCCTTTTTAATTGACCACTAAAAATATCACAGAGGAGACTGAAAGGTCTATCTAACTTATTCACTATATTTCACTGTACGAAAAAAGTAGTTGGACTTTGTTTCTTTGGATACATCATTGTTAAATGTTTCTCCTCAGTGCTATGATGTCACATTTATTGTTTTTGTACATTGGAGGCTTTATCTAAATTTTCAAAACTGATAAAATTTGTAGATGAACGAATTTGTTGCATATTTATCTGTTCTTTCCTTTTCTATTAAGGTGTGATTTGATCAATATTTTAGAAAACCTATGATTAAGCTTTTGGCATTTGTGAAAGATATTGAATTTTCTGCCTGGAAAATTGAAATCTTTTGGACATGGCAAATCAGAAATTAAATATCAGAATTTCTATAGTTGTATCTGTGATAGAAGATCTGTTTTTAACCATCAATATATCTCAATACTTAATATTCTTTAATCATTTTGTTTATATATTTTTGCTTTCTTCTTTTAAAACCACTTTAAATGGGCTTTATGTGACTTGGAACCTTGCAGATAATGGCATTTATATTCCTTATCAGAGTTACCAGATGATGCAGATATTTCTCAGTATAGTCTTTCCCTACTTTAGTATTGGAGGTTGATATGACTTATTACTATACAAAACTAGCCTTAGGAATTGTATGGATGTAGGAAAGTATATAGAAGAAACTTGTGGTAGTATAGATGTTTCTGAAGTGTGTATTTTTCCTGTGATTTGCCATTGTGCCAGCTATTGCTGAATAGTTGGTCAGCAGTAGAAGGAGTGAGTGAATGGCTTTTTTAGAGAGCTAATCACTGCATTCAGAGACAGTGGATCATAAAATTGTTTACTACATTTACAATTAGGATGGTGATTCACAAATAAATTTCAATGGCATTCTTTCTGGGATTTTTTTTTTTCCTCCTGAGCAAAGGCATCTTAGACTAAATCAAATTTTTGACATTATTGTCCCCATCATCCTTATCATTTTTACCACCATCATCATCATCATCCAGATATGTTCATGGAACTTTATTTGTTATTTGAAAAATACACTAATGATTGCTCTTTATAAATAAAATGCTTTCCTGTCTTTTTAAGCTTTCATTGAGCAAAGTAAAGTCTCAAGGAAGAATATAGTCTAACACAAAATACTGGATAACTTCGATTATTGAATTTTTTATTTGTACTAAACTATAATTAAGAAAAAATTTACTTCTTCCAAAAAACTTTTTTACACAGATTGGAAGGGTTTAATTAGATTTTAATGCTTAAAAGCTTGAGCCCTGCTATTAATTTCATTAAAGTGAACTTATGTTAGAGAAATGTGGAAGGAGAAGGCGTGGGATGAATATTTTGATATTCTGACAAAAGGACTTCATGGATGTATAATTCATGTATAGCCAGGTTTTAAATACAATACAATCTTCAAAAACAAGTTCTCAATAGGTTCAGTTGAAAATTTCTTCTGATTGTACTTAGTATTTCTTTAATGATCATTAAGAACTTGATATCTTTCAAAATCTTGAGGTCATCATTGTGAATATCAGTTGTCAGAGCATAACATATTGAAGGGGTATACATTTGAAATGAGATATCCTGTGAATTGTTTTGAAAAATTCCCTAATATTAGCTTGGTTGAAATTATTGATAAGTTTAACAGAAAGTATATTATTTGTGCTTTCTAAGATTTGGATAAATCCTATTTATTTGCACTATTTTAGTAATTTTACATTATATTTATTAAGAAATAATTTAGGAATTGTTATCTCAATCCTTTGTTTAAATATTTTTAAGTTAACCAGTAGTGTGAGACTGGAAGATTTACTCTACAGTGACATATTATTAAAATATAGAAGATATGTGTCTTGAAACCAGATGGCTTAAAGGAGTCTGCAGTAGGCCTGCTCTGGGAGGCCTGGGACACAATATTGACTTAATGTGGGATTGAGCTCACCTTACTTGCAGGCCTACATATGACACCTTCACCACTAACGTGTACTTGCTTGGGTTAGGAGTACGTTTAACTTTTAGGCCTCTAATGCCTTTATTTGACTGACATTCTGACCTCTCCTGTATTTCCAGACTTCAAATTGGGTTTATTTACATGGCAATAAACAAGAGATAATCCTAGCATTATATTGCCACCTATTTCTTTACAGCCCATCGTCATATAATGCTATGATGATACTGTCATAGAATTTTAATACCAGAATAGTTATGATTACATTTAGATTTTGCAGGAGTATTTTTGTTTTAAAATTTTTATTTATTTTTAATAGATGGGAATGATTATATTGAGTTAAATATCAAAATCTATAGTTACATTGAGCTTTTAGATATTTAGCATATGTTGCTAAGTCTTAGTCATGTAATAAATATAATAGTTACGCAGATTTTTTCCTCTGATTTCTCATCCTTTTAAGCCATAAGATAACCCTTAGACATATTAGCTGTGAAATTGAAAAAAAAAATGACTGCCAAGTTGACATTAAATTAAAATCTTTTGTTTGTATGGTAGACAGAATAATGATCCCTTCAAAGATTTCCACATCCGAATCCCTGGAACCTGTGAACATGTTATATTACATGACAAGGGGGAGATTAAGGTTGATAATCAGATGATCTTGGGTTGGTGAGATTATCCTGGACTACTCTGGTAAAAAGATCTTTAGACATGAAATAGGGAAACAAGAGAGTCAGTGTCCAAATCAGAGAGAAATTTGAAGATGCTGCACTGCTGGCTATGAAGGTAGAGGAAGGGACCATAAACCAAGGAATGCAAGCTAGAGAAGCCAAGGAAATGGATTCTTCCCTAGAGCCTCCAGAAGGAATACAGGTCATGCTGTTAAGTTGTTTGAATTCCTTATGCATTTTGTATAGTAACCCCTTATCAGATATATGGTTTGCAAATTTTTTCTTCCATACATCCCCTTTTCACTCTGTTAATTGTTTCCTTTGCTGTGAAGAAACTTTTTAGTTTGATGTAATCCCATTTATCTATTTTTGCTTTTGTCAACTGTGCTTTTGGTGTTATATCCAAAAATTTGTTGCTCAGACGAATATCAAGAAGCTTTTTCCCTATGTTTCCTTCTGGTAGTCCTATGTTTTCAGGTCTTACATATAAGTTTTTACTTCATTTTCTGTTGATTTTTGTGTGTGGTGTGAGATAAGGTCCAATGTGTATATCCAGTTTTCCCAACACCATCTATTGAAGAGACTGTCCTTTCTCCACTTTGTATTCCTGGCACCTTTATGGAAGATAGGTTGACCATAGATATATGAATTTATTTCTGGGCCCTCCATTCTATTCCATTGATCTATATGTCTTTTTTTATGCCAGTACCGTACTGTTTTGATTACTGTGGCTTTGTGATATATTTTGAAATCACAAAATGTTATACAGCCCAGCTTTGTTCTTCTTGCTTAAGATTGTTTTGGCTATTTAGGGTATTTTGTGATTTCATATAAATTGTAGGATTTTTTTTTCTATTTGTGTAAAGAATGCCATTGGGATTTTGATAGAGATTGCATTGAATCTGTATGTCACATTGGGTAGTATAGACATTTTAACAGTATTAACTTTTTCTATCTATGAACATGGAATATCTTTCCATTTATTGTGTCTTTTAACATTTCCTTTATCAATGTTTTATAATTTTCAGTGTACAAGTCTTTCACCTCTTTGGTAAAGTTTATTCCTAAGTTTTTTATTATTTTTGTTATTGTTATAAATGGAATTGTTTTCTTAATTTACTTTTTGGATAATTTGTAGTATATAGAAATAAGATATAGATTTTTGAATGTTAATTTTGTATCCTGTAACATTACTGAATTTGTTTCTTAGGTCTAACAGTGTTTTTTTTGAGTCTTTAGGGTTTCCTCCATATATATGTATGGTATCTGCAAACAGATATGATTTTACTTTTTCCATTCCAATTTAGATGCCTTTTATTTCTTTTTCTTTTTTAATTGCTTTGGCTAGGACTTCCAGGACTATGTTGAAAAGAAGTGGCAAGAGGGAACATCCTCGCCTTGTACCAGATCTAGAAGGAAAGCTTTCAGATCTTTTCCATTGATTATGATGTTAGCTGTGGGCTTTTCATGTATGGCCTTTATTATGCTGAGATAAGATCTGTACCTATTTTGTTGATTATTTTAATCATGAATGGGTCTCAAATT